GATCTGAAATCAGTAATTTTTCCAAAGAACTAATGGGAAATGACAGTAGATACCACAGTCTGAGCACTGCATTATCACTGCTTTAGGCCATTCCAGCGGAGGATTACAATATATATATAATTTAAGAGAATAAAGGTGTTGATAACTATATTTTCTATTTAAAAGTAGTAATACACGACTTTTATTTAACTTACTTGATTTTTACATTTGCATCTCTTTTCACTGACTCTTAAAATCTAATAGTTACTACTTCACTTTGTCCCATATATGCCTTTAATTAAAAAAAAAAAATACCAGTATTACTAATAAGACTCCTGAATGAAGTTTAAGATCTCTTTGTAGTTCTTTTGTCCTTAGAATTTATCTAACCCACTAAGAATGAACAGGTCAAAATAATGTACTTTAAAGTCATTTAAAGTAATTCTTTTCTCTGAGTGGTGATGTCATCAGCCTGATACAGAGTTAAGTTCATTTCTATTTAGAGGCTGGTTTTTCACTTGTTGCCTTTTCATTATATAAAATATTCATATGGTTCCAAAGTCAAAATATGTAATGGGGACTTTTTAAAAAGCCTCCTCTCTTGATTTATCCCTCCTCCCTCACTTCCCCTTTAGGTAACCATTTTTATTAGTTTTTCATTTATCCTTCTTTGGCTTCCTTTTACAAATACAAGACAAAATACGTATATCCATTTTCTTCTCATTTTCCTACACAGAAAAATGTATAAAGATTTCTACGCCTTACTTTTTTCATTTAATACATCCTATGCAGAGCACTCCTTATCAAGTGAAGAACTAGTCATCATTATTTAATTTTCAGCTACAAGTCATTCCATTTTGTGAATATATCACAGTTTATTCAATCAGTCCCTTCTGATAAACATTTGGGTTGTTTCCAATCTTTTGTTATTACAAATAAGGTAGTAATGAATAACCTTGTTCATATGTCACTGTGTATTTTTGTAACTATATTTTAAAGATAGATTCCTACAAGTGCTGCTTCATATGTAATTTTGCTAGCTACTGCCAAATTCCTCTCTATAGGCTTCATGTCATTTTATATTCCCATCAGCACTCAGATGCTTTTAATAAATTTATTTTCTGTTTAATTCAGCCAAAGTTTGTTTCTATTTCTTGCAAATAATAATTCTGACTGGGGTACATTGTTGTATTAATTTTGAGGTCTGCCCAACTCTATAGCCAGGCTGAACTTATACCCCATTTTCTATATTGTGTCATTTCACTCGAGTATCCTCCCTGAAAAGAGGCAATGTGGCAAAGCTTCACAAAACTACGATATTCTTCCAGAATCTGTTGACTTTTCCAAAGAGAAACACTTTTCTCTTGATTGAAAATATTTCATGTTCACTTGTAAAAACTTCACACTATCGAGAATGACATTTACTTCAAACAAAGAGACCTGGCATATCTCATTTAATCAAGTTAATATAGTGGCTCCTGCACTGAGGATTAGATTACAATACTCAAAGTAATTTTGACCTGTGTTTTTTCAAACTATAGGTTGTGATCTATTATTAGATTGTGAAACTAATTTGGAGGGCTCTAAGCAGCATCATAATCAAATAAACAATCAAACCAAAAAGAAAACAAAATACATGTTATACAGCAAGAGTAAGTATTGCTTAACTTACATAAAGACACACATATAGATATGTATTAGGTTCCTAAGTAATGTGTTTCTCTTACTATGGGTTACAGTCAAAAAAGGTTTGGGAAATGCCAATTTAGATTCAAACTATCAGTATTACCAAATATTCAATAATAACAGGGAAATCAGAATAAACATCTCTAAACATCCAGTTTTAAAAATTATTTGTAAGTACATATAAAGATCTAATTTTTAAACTTTCCAAATCTTCCTGACCTTTGAAATCAGGTAGTGCCCGATCATCAACTAGCAGCATGGGTCTGACTTGTTTCTGCTCTAATAAACTTCTGGCTGCAGTCAGAGATGTGAATATTTCATCTTCAGATATATCAAAGTCCAATTTTCTCAACCTTTCCAACAGGTCTTGCTTGCTCTCTTTGGTCGTATTGGTCACAAATCTAACGATTACAGAAGTACCACGTAACCTAGAGAAGCAAAATTCACAAGTCAAAAGGCAGCTTTTACATTCTGGCCCCATAAAACCTCCTAATTTGTCAAAACTGTGTCAAATGTTTTTATGGCCAAAAGGTTTTGTTGTTGTTTTTTTAAAAACAAAAAACAAAAAACAAAAAATTATCCAGAATTGCTTACAAATTATCTACACCCTTTGGGCAGCTTCACTTCCAAAGGCTGTAAAGTTGAACTGTTAAAGCTGTTTACCTTTTCTGAGGATCTTTTATACTTTAACTGCATTCTATTGCAGAGTTTAGTAAAGGAGAGAACAAAAAAGCTCATACAAATACGAGAGGTGAAAGGCATTGGTAGAGATTATCTACTGGTGCCGCCCTCTCTTCTTAAGGATGAAAAACTAGAGGCCTAGGGGAGTTAAGCGATTTGCCCCGCTTTATACAGCCGAGTGGCAGTAAAGCTGAGACAAGAACTCCATATTTAGGTATCTTGGTACAGTGTTTGATCTCCTACACTAAGAGAGCAGAAGACACCTCAGAAAATCTTTAGAGACTGGCTAAGCTCTAATGGGTTACTAAGTTTATAAAGAGAAACTACCTGGATAGCTCAAAGCAACATTCTATTTTTATAGACCAAAATCTGTTTTCCCTTCAAACTACTTACGTACATGATTGATTTGATTCCAAGATGTGCTCTTGAAACCTAAACTGGCAATCAGGTATCAGAGAAAGAATTCATGATAGTCTAACCTTCTTTAAAAATGTAAATTATTTTCTTGGTCCTATAGTGTTTCAATAAAAAATTTAAAAATAATTTAAATTTATCTACAATTTAGATTTTTATATTAATACCCTGTTGCTTTTATACTTGCCCCCCAAAAGGCCACAAGGCATGAAAGTGATAATCACAATTTAAATCAAGCAAGTAAATAAAACAGAAAAGAGATTTTTAAATATTTACCCAGGCCGGGCACGGTGGCTCACGCCTGTAATCCCAGCACTTTGGGAGGCCAAGGTGGGTGGATCACAAGGTCAGGAATTTAAGACCAGCCTGGCCAAGACGGTGAAACACCGTCTCTACTAAAAATACAAAAATTAGCTGGGCATGGTGGCACATGCCTATAATCCCAGCTACTCGAGAGGCTGAGGCAGGAGAATTGCTTGAATCGGGACCCAGGAGGCGGAGGTTGCAGTGAGCTGAGATCACGCCACTGCACTACAGCCTGGGTCACAGAGTGAGACTCCGTCTTTAAAAAAAAAAAAAAAAAATTCACCCAAAAGAACTTTAAGTAAATTTATATGATTAAATAATTCACTGTAATTATGATTACCTCTATAATATCAATGTAGTCTCTTCTCTACAAAACATATTAAATTTGGTGGTTCATCTCTTAAGAAATTGACTACTTCTATTTACTATTATCCTAAAAATGAAGAAGTCTAAGTACTGAAATAATCACTATTTAAAAAAATTTTTTTTAACTTTTCATTTTACTAGTCCCTAAATTTCTCTTAGTCTATTTGTTTTTACAGAAACTGAAGCTGGCGGTGCTAGTACGGTGATTTCTCTGGGATGAGAACCTATCAGTGCTAGCAACATGACAATTTGTAGGCTCCTGCCCCTCCAGAATGACACGTTTATAATTTACACAGCTACTTAGAGAAGTCATTGTTCACCAGATATAAAAAGATTTTTCTTTCAATCTACAGTAGAAAGCTCATCTTTAAAGCAGTAAAAGCTCTGTCCAACAGGAGCACAATGATTAACAGGCATCCGGCTAAATCAGACAGAAACCACGTCAAGGAGTCAAGATCAAGTCCAACTGTGCAACAGATTTTTTTTTCACTTTAAACAACATGTTGTCCACTACTTCTCCACCTATAAAATGAACATTATGACTCCTAACTGGTAACTCCCAACTGATTCCTGTCAGATATATAAGTATGTATTTCTTGATTCTGCAAATGAAAGGTAAGCTCCTTGAAAGAAAGTGAGGTTTGTGTTAATCTTTTGGCTTAATAACTGGCACTGTGATATGAGTCACTAGATTTTCTGATTAACACCATACTATGAACATTTTAAGGTTGGCAAATATGTACCACATACTAAGTATTGCTGATTTGAAAACTTCTCTAAATTATTTTAGGATAAAGATGCTTAATACAGGTTATTAGTTCTGTTGTGATGAGTTGGTATTTTTTTTTCAGGACACCCAGAAGCAAACATTCATATCCTATTTACTTTAACACACTTTTACTGGGTATCTCATTTGTATCCAGACTTCTGTTTAGTACTGTAGTTGGTACATAAGAAATAAGACAGTCCTTAGCCTTTAAAAGTGTTTAGTTGAGGGAAATAATTCTAAAATTTCAAGTTCTTTAGCTAAACTTTATTTGAGCAGTTGCACACTCAATGTTAGATCTTAGGGAAAACAGGAGAGAGCAGCACTATGCCTGTCTGTGTTTTATTTTGTGATTCCAGGATTCATTTGTGATTTTTTTCCAATGGTATTTACTCCACATTGTAGAATCTTGAGTTGTCATTCCCACATTTACATTACTGACTTAGAAAACGACACACACATAGAACAAAAAGACTGGATCAAAAGGCCAAACTTAATAAAGGCTTAGAAAACAATGTTTGGAGGAAATTACAATGCATACATCTTCTAGCTAAACCCAAGGCAGTTCCTATATATGGTAAGTTGGTAAAATGCCATCTTAAGGCCATCCATTTAGCTAATGATCTGCCATGGTAAAATGGCACTTACAAACATATTTGTCAGCTGAACCTGGAGGATAGCTTGCCTTTTAAGAGCTTCCTGTGCGCCTGGCACAGCTGCATCTTCAATGTGAAGTGTGCCACTGAGATCTACCAAAACAGCTTTTAATGCACGGCGTGCTGCCATCCTTCATTCCCTAGGAGAGAGCAAATGAAATTAAAAATACAGTTTAGGAAACAATGGACAATTAAAAACTGGTAAGTCTTCAAAAATATCACTCGTATCCAGAAAGATCCTGCTTAGTGTTAAGCTACTTGCTTCCATTTTGGAAAAAATTGGTTTTAAAAATTACAAATCCAAAATTTGATCCACAAAACTTTTACAATACTTAAAAAAAAAAAACCACTGAAATTAAAGCTATAGGAAGGAAAACACAGAGATATGCCTACTTACTTTCAGGTTTTTTAAAAGAACTCTGGTGAAAAATTCATTCATTTATTTTTCAACATGAGAATAATGTACTTTAAACAATGGGTAAATGAAAAGACTAAGTCATTAGCAAAGTCTTCTTCATCTTTGGTTACGTAAAATGAAAATATTCTAATCGCCCTTCTTTGCTGCTGTATTCTGTAACAGAATATGTGGCTCTCTCTCATCCACCACTGCCACCTCCTCCTTCTGCTGCTCCTGGTACAGACATGGTACCTTTTTTATGAAGTGGAAGCTGAGGAGACTCAGGCAGTCACCATGGACAACAAAAAGCCGAAGGAAGAAGTCAAAACTGAGAACAACAATCGTATTAATTTGAAGGTGGCAGGGCAGGATGGTTCTGTGGTGCAGTTTAAGATTAGGAGGCATACACCACTTGGTAAACTAATGAAAGACCACTGTGAACGACAGGGATTGTCAGGGAGGCAGATGAGATTCCAATTCGATGGGCAATCAATCAATGAAACAGACACACCTGCACATTTGGAAATGGAGGATGAAGATACAATGGATGTATTCCAGCATCAGACAGAAAGTGTCTACCAAAAAGGGAACCTATTTCTTTACTCCAGAATTCTGTTCTTATGGACCAAGATTACATTCTTAATCAGAAAACGGCAATTTGATTCCACCACATTCTGCTGACTATAGTTTTCTCTATTCTTTCACTTCCTCCTTCCCCATTCCTTTACTATACATAAAGTAATGGGATAGTTTCACAAGCATATTGCATTTTTTTAAACTAAACAGCCAATAGGTACATTCTGATTGACATCAGGTAGAGGTGAGATGGGGAAAAATACTGATTCTGTGAAAATACCCTTTCTCCATTAGGGGCATGTTCACTCAGCTATCTTTACATTTCAGGAAGTTATTTTGCTCTGTTTTAACAACAAAAACAACAAAACATAAAAATCCCTGTGTATCTTGTTCAATTGGAGAATTTTAATGTTTTCAATTTATCAATGCAAAACCAAGGACAATTTTATAACTTTTGTGTAGCTGTTACATGTAGGGCAATCTGTCTTTAAGCAGATATAAAAATTACTCTTAAAAAAAAAAAAAAAGAATCCTAGATAGTGTTCCTTTCAAGTCAAGCATCTTGATGTTTAAATAACCTTCTTGTTAAAAAAAAAAATAGGGCTGGGTGCAGTGGCTTGGCACTTTTGGGAGGCTGAGGGGGGTGGATCACTTGAGGTCAGGAGTTCAAGACCAGCCAACATGGTGAAACCGCATCTCTACTAAAAATACAAAAATTAGCTGGGCGTGGTGGCAGGCACCTGCAATCCCAGCTACTCAGAAGGCTGAGGGATGAGAATCTCTTGAACATGAGAGGCAAGGGTTACAGTGAGCTGAGATATCGTGCCATTGCACTCCAGCCTTGGGGACAGCATGAGACTATCTCAAAAAAAAAAAAAAAAAAAAAAAGAAGAAGAAATCGGATATGTGGCTAAGGAGTTATCAGTACTTTCAGATTAAATTTCAAGTTACACAGTAATTTTACAGTAAGGAGATAGTTTTCTTACCTTACAATGTACAACTTTACCTTTCTATATTTTCTTTTTTAAAAATTGCATTATGAGCTGGGTGCGGTGGCTCATGCCTGTAATCCCAGCACTTTGGGAGGCCAAGGTGGGCTGATTGCCTAAGCTCAGGAGTTCGAGAGTAGCCTGGGTAACAGGATGAAACCCCATCTCTACTAAAAATACAAAAACTTAGCCAAGCGTGGTGGTGCACCTACAGTCCCAGCTACTCAGGAGGCTGAGGCATGAGAACAGCTTGAACCCAGGAGGCAGAGGTTGCAGTGAGCCGAGCTCATGCCACTGCACTTCAGCCTGGACGACAGAGTGAGACTCTGTCTCAAAAAAAAAGGAAAAAATAAATAAAAGAATTACATTATGAGCTATCTCATATACAGAGTGTAAGATATATATGATTTAAAAGTAATAAGGAGGTAGGTAAGAACAGTATGGAAACTAAAAAGAAGATGGTACTTTAATTTTTAGTTTTTTTAAAAAAATTAAACCATTTATTCAGTCATTTCTTCTTTCCATTTGCTTGTTTTTATAATAAAGTATGTTAGACATACAAAAAGATAATCAAAGATGCTTCAGGAACCCCCTTCACCTATTCTTCAGCTTCAGAAATAAAACACAAGATTATCTGGAGTTCTCTGTATACACTCTGCCATCCAATTCCCCCTTCTACCCCTGTCCAAGGTAGCCACTCTTAACTATGATATATTTAAAGCTTTGTATTAATATTAATGGTACTCTGTGTACACTTAGCAACTTGCTTTATCAGTCCACATTGTATGTTTGAGATGTTAACAAGTGTAGCTATAGTTCCTTTATTTTCACCCCTGTATGATACTCCATTGTATAAATACATCATGATTTAATTATCTGTCTTCCCAATCATGGACATTCAGGTAATGTTGCATATTTTAATATAATAGAGTGTTTCTATGCACATCCTTGCACCTGTCTCCCAGTAAACACGAGTGTGAGCATTTGCCTCAGGTCTGGCTGGGTCTGAGGGTGTGTGCTCACCTTCTCCCTTACAGGATTTGCTAGGTTGCCCTGTTCATTCCTATCTGCATAGGGCAAATGTTGACTGAGCACCTCCTACATCTCAAGCCCTGGTGTAGAGGCAGAGCTGCAGAAGCCATCTCCTTTAAAGGGTGAAGCACAGGCAAAGGGTCCATGCTCAGCTAGAAAGAAGCTGGGGAGATGTTATGTGAGAAATTATAAAGAATTTGTAGAAAATGTGTGGGAAGAGCTTTCAGGTACCTTGTTGAATCTTATCTTGGGACAGACAGCAGGTGGCTGGAAGATTCTGCCTCCTAGCTAGCTGCCTATGAGACACAATCGAGAGCTCAGGCCTGGCAGTCAGCAAGCCTGGGTGCTGATCCTAGTTCTACCTCAAATTCACTGTGTGACCCTGGCCAAATTACCCTCTCCAGGCCTGTTTCTCCTCAACACATGGAGCAGGGAGGCAGGTGAAGCCTCAATCTTTACCTACTGCCTCCAGCAGATGGAGTCAATGTGCTGCATTATTCTCTAGAGCCTTGATTTTTTTCCCCTTTAACTCGGGCTTGCTAATCCCCACTGGGCCCACCTCCCATGGCTGCCAGCAATACTCTAGATTGTCCAGTGTTACCCTTTGAAATGGATAGGAAAGATGAGCCACTCATTTCTGCTGAGCGGCTGCAACCACCCTGCTCCCATTCCAAGTCAGTGATTTCCAAACACAAGGTATAACTATTTTAAAAAACCAGAGCAAACCCCAGAACTAACGTAAACTGCTGGCAAGCACTGACTACTGATTAGCATGTACAGTGGACATGGACTGGGTATATTGAAGGAAAAAATGTATTTTTCTGCAGGATAGAGCTATCAGCATGGGCTGGGCTAGGGAGGGAAGCAGAGACAAGGAGGCACAGAGATGGGACTCTGGTTGAATCCAAAGGCCCCACCAGCCAGGAAGGAAGGCCCCATGCCTGCTCTCCCAGGCTGCTGTAATCACTATACATGTTCACCAAATCTAAGCTGGGTTTCCACTCACCCAGCTCAAACCTGGGCCCCAAATGAGGGAGATGCAGATGATGGGGAAAGTGGGGCCAGGTAGTAAGGGTCAGACAGGTTCAAGGTTAGCTAAGCGACCTTGGGCAAGTGCATTCAATATCCTAAGCCTCCATTTCCTCATCTGTAAAAGAGGAGGAAGGAGGAGGAGGAAGAAAAGAGGGAGGAAGGGGGGGAAGAAGAGGAGGAGAAAGAGGAAGAAGAGGAGAAGGAGGAAGATGAGGAAGAGGAGATGGAGGAAGAGAAGGAGGAAGAAGAGGAGGAGAAAGAAGAGGAAGACAAGGAGGAAGAGGAGGAAGCAGCAGCAGCAGCAAAGGAAGAGGAGGAGTAAGTGTCTTACAGGATTCTCAGCATTCAGTAAGTCAAGGAAAATGCCTAGTAGTGGTTAGCATATAGTAGATAAAAGTTGTGAGACCTCTTCCTCCCTGCTAATCATGATGTGACAGATCCCTCCCCCCAAGTATGGCCTGAGGCCACAAACTACAAGAAAGGAGCCAAAGAGGCATCTGGGAGGAATCTATGGAGACAGAAGAAAAGTAAAACCAGCTCCCATTTTTGGATGCTGTGTGTGTTCTGCACTTCGCGAAGTGCTCTGCAATCTTTATCGCTTCATTCAAACTCCTCAGCAATCCTACACAGTTGAGGAAACAAGCATTAAGAAGTTGCTAACTTGCCCATGCTTTTTTAGTTTTGACCATGAACCATGTTTGTGTTTTAGATGTTCAAATGTAAGTAAACCAGTCTCAAAATGGAAGAAAAACAGAAACAAACTAGCTAGAAAAGCTCTTACATCTAACACTCTGACCCTATTCCTTCAAAAGGATATATTCAAAGAACAAAACAAATTGCAAGGACATCTTGAACTTACTTCATAGGCTAGTTGGTAAAAGTAGCAGTATGACTTCAAAACTATTTTGTGCGTACCACAGAGTTGAGGAAATGAATAAAGATGTTGATGATAAAAAAAATCAGGGTTCTCAAGTGGAAGAAAAGAGATAAACACACAGAATGGGAGGAGAGGAAGAACCTGTAGTACTGATTTAGAACTGGAGGTGTCATTATGAATTCATGATTTAAACAAATATGGGCCGAGCGCGTTGGCTAATACCTATAATTCCAGTACTTAGGGAGGCCGAGGCAGGTGGATCACTTGAGGTCAGGAGTTTGAGACCAGCCTGGCCAACATGGTAAAACCCTGTCTCTACTAAAAATACAAAAATTAGCTGTGCAGTGACAGGCACCAGTAGTCCCAGCTACTTGGGTGGCAGGAAAATCACTTGAACCTAGGAGGTGGAGGTTGTGGTAATCTGAGATTATGCCACTGCACTCCAGCCTGGACAACAGAGTGAGACTCTGTCTCAAAAATAAATAAATAAATAAATAAATGAATAAAAAGTATGTCTTAGCTCTGTCCACTAAAAGAACCAAGATGCAATAACACTCCAAAAGTGCTGAGCACACTAAAATCCACTGAACAAAACCAGGACTGGGGCAGGGAAAGCGTAAGTAGAAGCTGGAATACACTGTTTCAGCAGGTCACAGAAGACACAGGACAGGGACAAAGGAGCCAGCTTGAAGAGATTTCCACTGGCCAAATATGGAGCAATTTGAGCATCAAAATTAAAAAAAAAAAAAAAAGTGAGATAAGGTCAGACTGAGCTGAAAAAAAAAAGGGACAAGAGAGGATAAAGCCTTTCACAGAAGAATGCCAATTAACAAATGTAGTAAGAATGCTAGAAATAGAAAATCAACATTTTATGACCACTATGGTAATAACTGATATGGGGAAAAATCATCAATGAATGCTAGAACCACTGGATGAAAAACTGTTGTAGAATATTCCTCCAGGCTCAATGAATCACTCACATATTCAGCAGAAAATATTCATTTACAATGGAAAAACCTGCCAGATATACCTAAACCAGACGATCAAATTAACACCATTAATAACGGGACAAACTGACACGATGCGCTTCCTGAGAGAGACAATATCACCTCTGTAGGATTCCTACTGAAAATGTTCAACCCAAGTTGAGTCATAAGGAAAAAATCAGGCAATTCAAATTAAAGAAAATTGTACAAAACAATTGGCTGGGGAACTGTATCAAATTAAAGGAGTCTGAAAAGACACAGCAACTAAATGCAATGCATGAGAGTAATATAAAGCCAATGGAGCAAGGATGAACAATTAGTGAGTTTAGGTGAAGAGTATATGGTTTTTACTGCACTATTCTTACAAACTTTCAACATAAAAAGTTTGAGAAAAATAAGTTAATAAGAGGGCTCTTATCAAAGTGGGTAAAAGAAGGATGTTTTCATACCTAATAATAGTGTGATATATAAATACAAAAATGGGCAATGGTTTTTATCCACGGTTCCTGGCTTGTAACTCCCATAGCCTTTGTTGAAATAAATACAATCTCTCTGAGGTTCTCCTGTCCCCCTTTCACCCTGCCCAAAGCAGAACTCTAACCTGATTATAGGTCAAATGACCCTGGAAAAAAAAAAAAAAAAAAGAGAGAGGTTCTATCTCATACCCTGGAGGAAGGAATGCTGCAGAGGGGTTAAGAAGAATCCAAACAGGCCTTACTAGGTTTAGATCATACCATTTACATCCAATCACATTTCAAGACAGTTGTG